GTTTCAATAACTTATGTCATATGCTACAATAAACTCCAAATGATAGATCACGTAAATATAAATAGTATATGAAAATGGAAAGACAAAGGAAAAATGTATCTTTCATAGTTGTAGCAAGAGGGAAAGTTCTCTTTTACCTAAAAAAACAGGCATGGAAATCAACATTAAAGAGAAAACAAATATTTTTATTATAAAATTGACAAATTTTTTATAAAACAAGGTAAATATGGGAAAGCAATTATGGAAAACAAATCTTCAGAGCAACATTCTCTGATAAAAGTTTAAAATATAAATATATTAAGAATTAGTACACATGTACACATATATGAATAAGAAGAGTTCCCTAATATTCTGTTGTTCAGCTGTTATCAGGCATGTCTGACTCTTTGTGACTTGATTTGGTGTTTCCTTGGCAAAAATACTGGAGAGGTTTGTCATTTCCTTCTCCAGTTCATTTTACAGATAAGAAACTGAAGCCAGCTTGGTTAAATGACTTGCTCAGGGTCACACAGCTAGTAAGTGTCTGAGGTCACATTTGAGCTCGGGAAGATGAATCTTCCTAACTTTGGGCCAGGTGCTCTATCCACTGCGCCACTAGCTGCCCTTCATTCCCTAATGCATACACACACACACACACACACACACACACACACACACACACATATACATTCAATAAGAATATGTATAATAGCACTTTTCATTTTATCAAAGAGCAAGAAACAAAATACTTTCTCATTAACTGATGATGTGTGAACAGATTCTAGTAAGGAGGCAGTGTGAGAAAGTGGAGAAAGCACTGATTTTAGAATTAAAGGACCTGGATTCAATTCTCATTCCTGATGTCCCCTGCAAGAATGACCAAGGTGGTCAATTGGCCTCAATTTCCTCCTTTCTAAAATAAAATATTTGGACTAGGTAACCTATGAGATCTCCTCTGGCACAAGATGTATGACCCTATGGTATCTGAATTCAGTGAAATAGCATTGATCTGTAATAAATGATGAATATTACAGTTTCAAAGAAATATGGAAAGACATATTAACAGATTTTGATCAAAGTGAGCAGAGCCAGGAAGACAATATGTACAATTACCACAACAATGTGAAGGAAAAAGAACTCAAGGTATTGGCTAAAGCATCAACAAATCAGAGCTTCATGCTAAATCATATGTTGTACCTCTTCTTAGTGTGATGATAGACTAGAGCTACAGAATCAGACACCCAATCTCAGATATGGCAATATCTTGATTTGTTTGCTCATTTATTTGTTGTTCAATTGTTTCAGTCACGTTTGACTATTCATGACCCCATTTGTTTTTGGGTTTTTTTTTTGGAAAAGACACTGGAATGGTTTGCCATTTCCTTCTCCAGCTCATTTCACAGATGAGGAAACTAAGAAAAACAGAGTTAAGTGATTTGCCCAGAATCACACAGCTAGTGTCTGAGGTCAGATTTGAAATCAGAAACATCAATCTTTTTGACTCCAGGCCAGGCAGTCTATCCATTGTACCAGCTAACTGCCCCCTTGCTCAACTATGCATAATTGTTATAGGGACAGGCTTCTACTTGGGAGAAGAGGTGGTCAGGAATGGATTAGAGGATAATGCTAGATATGGGAAAAAAGAGAGAGCATTTTTGAAATAAGCCTATTTTCTGAAAACATAATTATGCTTCGATACAGATAAATTAATAGAACTATGAAATCCCTAATTAATATGAATATGGAATTATTTTAAATAGAAAATGTTAGATTAATTGACATCTAATTTTAAATTTATAACAAATCATTTTAAAAATAAATCTCAAATTATTAAATCACAAAGTATTTTATAAACTATCCATGAATTTTGAACTCTTCATTACAAAGTTTCTTATAGGAAGATAACTGAATTTTACTTGCCATTATGGTTTTATAAATATATGTAGTAGTAAAAATGTGAATAGGACACAGATGCAGATTCCTGAACAACCATGGGCAAATGAATCATTATAGCCCATAAATAAATAAATAAAAGGGCTCTAACTTTACTTAAGTCTTTGATAAAGGTGACTCATTCCTATTAATGCATCTTCAAGGTCCTTATTAGTGACCTGAATAATAATTTGCAAAAAGTTTTCAGATTGGTCAACTTTCTGAGGTTTGAGGATTTAAGAATCAGGAACTGTTAAGCAACATTAAAGGTTGTCTTACCCCCTAATTTGGCTTGGGTTTAAAGCTAGAAGCTGAGACTGAAAGAGGTTAACATGCCTTGACTGAGATTACATAACTTGTATCTGTGGGATGAAGAATTAAATCCACATCTTCCTAAAACTGATTCAGTGTTCTTTTACACTATACCTATGGATTGTCTAATTTTATTTACTTTCCTTTGTATCAGTTCATTCAAATCTTACCATGCCTTTCTAAAGTCTTTATATTCATCACAGAACTATATTCTCTTAGCATGATAATATTCCATCATATTCATATATTTTGATTTGTTCACCCTTCCCCAGTTAATAAGGACCCATTCTTCATCTTTATTGTGTACCAAAAAAAGTGCTTCTATGTGAATTTTGATATTTTGGGGCTATTTTTCCCCTATCTTTGATTTCTTTGGGTTATATTAACGTAAGTTGTTGATCAGACCTGAGTTTGGAATTCAGATCCCTAGAAATCTAACTATTGAGTCAAAGGACTATATTTTCTGTACAAAATGTACATGAAGGTGAAAAATAATGTGGCATCCCTATCAAAGACCTTTTATAAAGCAAACATGAAGTAAAGAGTAGAGGAAACATTGTTTTTTTTTTTTTTTAGATTTCTCTTACAAAGGGATACATACACTTTGAAGGACGTGAATTCTTTGTTCAGTCATTTTTCAGCCATGTGTGACTCTTCATTGATTCCATTTGGGGTTTGGGGGTTTTCTTGGCAAAGATGATTGGAGCGGTTTGTCAATTTCTTCTGTAGTTTATTTTATAGGTGAACGAACTGTGGTAAACTAGGTTAAGTGACTTGCTTGGAGTCATAGAGCTAATAAGTACCTGAGGCCTGATTTGAACTCAGGGGGGTTAAGCCTTCCTGATTCCAAGCCCAGGGCTCTGTCCACTGCATTATCCACCTGTACCACTTAAACTTTAAAGTACTCAAACTGACACAGTCAATTGATAATGTTATCTGATAATAGTTTGTCTTCCAAATTATCCCCAAGTATATCACCAAGAAAGATGCAAATGGAAGAAGGAAAAAGTCAAAAGTCTGTGTTATCTCAATGATTATTAGACCACAGGATCATAAGTGTAAAACATGATGTTGTGATAAGGATGCTGGATTGCAAATTAAAGCTTCTGGTTTTCAATTTTCAATTCCAGCTTTAACATTTTTACTTGTACGATATCTGCTAACCTCGCCAGGCTTCTAAACATACTTATGCTACCTGATTTCTAATGATCTTTCTTTGAATATAGATGTGTTTGCTTGTTGTGTCTTCCCCATTAGATGATAATCTCCTTGAGGTCAAGGGATGCATTTTGCCTCTTTTTTTATCTCCCACACTTAACATAGTGCCTGGCACTTAGTAGACAATTAATAAGTGTTTATTGATTGACTGATTGTGTTTATTGATAAGTAGTATGACAGAGTGGTAGACAAATTTAGAATAAGGAAGACTTGGATTCAAATGGTACCTCTGACACATACTGTATATGTGACAATGGTGACTCTCTAAGACTATAAATTGTAGAATAACTGCTGATTTTAATTAGTAGAGAAGGTCCCTGTTACCAATGTTATCATAAGTCAGGGCCAAAGCGGGGAAAAATAAAATACAAATAAGGGAAAATCAGTGTCTTATGTCCGCTGATAGAGGACTGGAGTCAGGAAGAATTGAGTTTAAGCTGCACCTTTGACACATGGTAGCTTGTGATATGTTTAAGTGATTTTTCCCCTCAGTACCCTGGCCTGTTTAAGAAGATGAGTCAAAGAGGGTTAGCAACTCTCAAAGAATAGATGGAGTTCCCCCAGTGAGATTTCCTTGCACTGATAAATTCATAGTTCTGAAAAAGAAAAAAAGAACAAAAAATAAATATGGACTTTTATTAAAACTGCAGAGTTTTTTTTTTCCAATCGTCCTTGAAAATGAAAGAAAATAATGAAAAAGACAACAGTTGTCATCTCAAGAGGTTGTTGGAACAACAAAGATATAGCAGGGTTGGTGGCAAAAAGGTAGATGAGACAGAGATAGTATTGTTGGTCTTTGTCTGGAAAAGAGATAAGAGACAGGAAATGGGATCTATTCCAAAGAATAAATATTCTGCTACATTTTCTGTCTCCCTCCTCCCTTCACCTCTCCAATAAACATATTTAAAAATAAAGTAATTGGGATGCATTTGGGCCTTTATTTATTGATGTGCCCAATCTAAAAAATATATACATATTTTCTAAAAGTCTATTTGCTACAGTGAAGAGAGTAGTAGACTCAAGGGCAGCAATATTTGGGTTTAAATTCTGCCTCTTGAAGTTGCCAGTTGTGTTTCTATGGGCAAATCACTGAAGCTCCCTAGGCCTTGAACAACTCTCCTACAGTCAATCCTATTTATTAAGAACTAGAGTAAAAATTCTGTTGAATCTTTTTTTTGTTTATTTGTTTATTTGTTTTTCTTCTTTTTATGTTTAATGCTGGTTTATTTGATAGGTCACATATTGCAATGTGCATTGGTGAAGGGAGGGATTTCCTATTCTAGAATTTCTACTTGGACACAATGAAAACACAGATCCTTAATGTGTGTGTGTGTGTGTGTGTGTGTGTGTGTGCATATACACACATATATGATTTATTTTACTTGAAAAAAAATACATAGGAAAAATTTTATCAGCTTTAGCAAAATTGGAACTTGCCTATAATGCTACACTTCTGAAAAGTAGTTACAACTTACCATTGCACTAATAAATAATATCTATAATAGACTCGGGGAAAACATGACTGTAAAGCAAGTATGTATTTTTCTTTTATTCCACAGCTAAACATTTTTCATGACTGGTGATATCTGGAATGTGGTAAAATAGCAATTGAAAAACAGCAAAGAAGAATTACATTATTACAAATGCCAGAGCGTTTGTTAATAAAACATTTTATTTCATTCTGTTTGAAATTATGTTATTACTTATTAAAACCAATACTAAAGGCTGCTATTTGGGGGACATTTCTTAGCTATTGTTCATATTTATTAAATATGGCCACTTCAATAAAAAGAACTATTATAATGATTTGAGCATCATTAGGAGTTAAATATGTGAAAGCTAGTGATGTGTGCCTTTGACAGATCTCATTATTTTCCAGTAACTAAAAGCATCATACTTAGCGGTACCAAAAACACACACAGAGTAAAAAATTTCAAGATAAGGAAAATTTAAATGTAAGAATTTACTAATGCCAAATCTGTGTGCATATCTCCTTTTATGGATATGTGGGCTATAAGCTAGAGAGTTCCACGTCACTCCCTTGCTCAAGACCTTTCCATGTCTCCCCATTATCTATAGGATGAATTGCAACCTCTTTGGCTTGGCATTTATAAAATCCTTCATGATATGCTTCTAGCCTAATCTTAGATTTCAACGGACCCCTCTACACAAAGAGATTTTTATGCAATGCTGATTCTCCTGGGAATTTGAGGAAAGGAGGGAGAAAGGGAAGGAGCTAGGAAGGGGGCTTCATGCTGATGGGGATGGAATCTGAACCCCTAAAAAGAAAAGACCCTGTCTTGGGATCTGGACACCAAAAAGGAAAAGCCCTGGACTTTCCCACATGGCCAAATCTTTGGTGTTTGCCTGAGATTATAATCCTATCACCTGCCCTTTCATTGCCACCTATGCCCAGTCTCCCAATTCTCTGTTAACCCTCATGTAACCCTGTATTGTCTAACCTCCCTATAGCCCTGGCCTACTTCCCACCCTTGATCCTGTCTAGGCTCATTTCTGCCTTGGCCATGAGGTCCAGGCACCCCAGGCTACTTGGCCATTCCTAGATATCTTCCATAATCTTTCTTTATATGAGGTCCATCTGGCCTCCATTAAGGTGCTCAGATTCTTAAGATCTGAGCCACTTACATTAGTAATACAAATGCTTAGATTCCTTAAGAGTCTGGCCCATATGGTGGATCACCTTTAGCTGATGGAAGGCTTGGGTTGAATTCATTCAGACAGGACCCAAGTGTCTTGATTTTGGTTTCCCAGCACCCCTAAACCTCTAAATTTCAACAATGCCAGTGGAAGGAGAGGACCTGAATACCTTTCAAGTACAACTGTTGGGGCTGGGGACAGAGAAGCCTGAGCCTACTGTTGGGACCAGCTGCTTGGGGGCTTGGACAGAACCCAGAGGAAGAACACCTTTAGGAGGAGGGAAGAAAAAGGACATAGACGGGAAATGACCAGCGATGCCCAGGGGTGGGGACATACACAGGGTACCAGACAGTGGACTGAGGGAAGACAGAAGTATGGGGTCAGACCTTCAGGTAGGGTAGGCTCAGTGGGGGAAATATCTTCTCTCCAAGAAGCAGAGCTCTCAAGACAAGCCCACATTCTTTAGTCATAGTGGTAACTCAGCATGTGGGTACTTCTGCTTTCACTTGAAGGTTTTTTGTTTTTGTTTTTGTTTGGAGTTAGGGGAGGGGTGGGTAATAGCCTCAATAGAATGAAGAATCAGCTGTAACTGGTGATTCACTGTATAGCTCCAGTTTACCACAGCATAAACCACCAGCAGCAACAGCCTGTTGTAGTACCCAAGATCTTGACTATACTAATAATATTTATGTGAAGAATCTAGTAATCTCTCATCTCAGATTTTACTGAACTATAGTTACTTTCTCTTGGATCTTGCCAAAGGATATAGAAAAGACTTTCGTTTTCATTACTGAGTTTCCCTGACCTCTGAAATGAAAACTGAATCACTGTTTCTACTACTGTCTTCTAGCCACTCAACTAACCTGACTAGGATTCAAAGATCTATTATGGTTCACCCTACCTATCACCTAGGTTCACCTACCTATCACCCTTGATTTTGGCACCATATTATGGTGCCAGTCCTAGTTTCTTCTTTTATTTCTTTCTACTCTTAGCCTTACAAACTCCAGACAGAGTATGTTTTCTGGAGTTGATTTAATTGAAATTTGAGGTCTTAGAGGGTAATACAGAAGTGGGCATGAGCCCACACTAGAACATATAAAAAAAAAGGAATCACAAAGGAGAGGTGGCATAAAGGACAACTCAAAAAGATTTATTACTGGAAAAAAATGACCTGATAATGTAAGATGAGAAAAACCTAACCAAGTGACCTAACTAAGCCTTTGTGTGCCACTGATTTTCATGTGATGCCAAGAGAACTTTCAGAAGGCCCCAGCACTTTGGATGAACTTCATCTGATAAAATTATGAAAGGACAGGATAGACAGGAATGAGAGAATTATAAATCTACATCGAAAGACAGAATTTCATATTGTTCCATTGCAGAGCTTCTTAACCTGGGATCTGTGAATGTGTTCTTTTAATATTTTGATAACTATGTTGATAACTATAATATTTAATATTTGACAACTAAACCAACTACAATTGGTTTCTTTTATAAACCTACATATCTTTTTTAAGGCATTTAAAAACATGATTTTGAGAAGGGGTCCATGGGCTTCACCAGACTGACATGGTTGTCCATGACACAAAGAAGTTTAAGAGCTATTGAAATATTGTATTATTGAAGTATTTACAAGGAATGAGAATATATTCCAAAAAACAATAGTCATGTACATTAATTAGAAGTATTTATAAATATATCTATCCAGTTTAGTGAAGAGTAGCAACTAAACTTTCTAACTCGATAGTTTGCAAACATGTCTCAGACCTAACATACATCATTCCCCTCATAGTGCCAAAAACCCCATGTAATGGAGTCTCTTTCTCCCTAATGTCACTAGGCAAAAATGGAGATTCTCTTCCCAAAACACTACAGTGATGATGTGAGGAATTTGCTCATCAGAGCTTCCTTAAAGGAATTCAATGGACCATTGTTTCCAATATCAGGCTTATCCAGACCTTCAAAAGCAGACTTTTTCACTAAAGTCACACAAAAGTTTAATGTTTGCAAAGCCACAACTAAAAGGGTTTCTGTGACCCCACAAACACTGAGGCTGGGGTCTTTAGGTGGAGGTGATGAGAAATTGCTTCTGCCAAGAACTGCAGACAGAGAAATTCTGTTTAACTGCCTTCCAGCAGTGTACTTTTGGAGAGGGCAAAGCAAGCTATTGGGTTAGCCTAACTTTCTTTCCCCTTGTTTAAATGCCCTGTGGCCATTGAGTTTGCTTGGATGGCACCAGTAATTGTGTTTTTCATTACCCATTGTTGTGTCTAGCAGAGAATTCACTGAGATAAAAGGTGTTCAGGGGAGGAAGAGAGAACTAGATGTATTTGACTTTTCTGAAAAAAAAAATGAGCTCATGGTGCACCCAAATGGAACTTGAGTTTTTACTTCATGAAATGAAGATATGTTTATCAAATACTCCAACTGCCCAATGCAACAACATGTTGCTCCAACATAAATAATTTCAATAATTTATATTCTTTAAGGGAATCAACAGAAAGATCACTATGACTTAAAAAAATATATCTGTACCATTAGAATATTAGCCTTTATGGGAAGGGACTGATTCTGTCTTTCTTTGTATCTGCAGTGGTTAAACTTTGGAATTATTGTGTGACATGGGACAGGACTGCTCAGCATGGCATGCCCACATTAGAGAAGGTGCTGGGCTCTATAAACAAAGTAGAATTCAAATAGCTCAAAAGAAAGGCAAGATGTACAATTTTAGAGAATCCACTCCAAATGTTCACAAGGACTATTTCTGCCTTACTTGTGGTAGAATATTCCAAGCTTGTATTGGTCTGATCAGCAACAGTTGGACACACATAGTGATGTCATTTTGGTCCTTTTAGAGAATGAAGGACAACAAGCAACCAATCTCCAGTGATTAGCACAATGTGGCATGCTTCATTCAAATATTCTCTGAACTGATCCAAGTTAATCTTAATGCAGATAGTCATGAAATGGAATGCTGTGCAGTTCATTTAAAGCAGGTCTGGAAGACCTGCTGTAAAGGTCTAACCTCTCACATGTGCCAGCTATGTGACCTTGGAAAAGTCACTTAACATCCATTTACTTCAGTTTTCTCAACTATAAAATAGGGATAATAATAGCACCTAATTCCCAGGGTTTTTGTAAGGAGCAAATGAGATAATATTTGCAAAGCATTTACCACAGTAATATTGCAGTAATCATTTAACAAATGCTTGTTCCCTTCCCTCTATTGCTTGGTTATTTCTAGCAGAAAAGATTCCTGGGTTTGTAGAAAAGGCACACACACAAACCTAATCCAAGAACTCATTCACCCATGAGGAAAGGTGCCAAGAGTCAGAAGACTTCCCAAGTCATTCATTACTAAGACAGTTATTTTCTTTGAAGAGTTTAAAAAATGGAAAGTTACAAAGGAGCCCTCTCAGAACTATTTTTTTTAAATCTGGAAAAAAATGATTCAGAACACTTGAGGTTCATATGATATCATAAGACATTTCTTTGCCTGCAGGTTGCCATTTTTTTAAAAAAAAATTCAATGACAAATAAAATGGCTCTGAATCAGGGAAAGATTTTGCTATTCCCAGTCATTGTTAGCTACTAGTATGCACTAAATAATACCCATCTAGTACCCCTCCCAGGAAAATGCATTACAGTTATCTAATTGCTTCTCACAACACTCCTGTGGGAAGAGACAGACATTATTTTATTCTTTGGAGGTTGAGGCAGTGACATACTAAGTTAGTAGCCCAAGGACACAGAGTGAATTAGTAGCAAATATAATAGTAAGAATCATCCTCTTGGTATCCATACTGCTCTACAATTTTTCATAAATAGACTCAACTTCTAGTCAAGTGATATAATTTGGAAGACCCTGATCAATTCAGAGGCTGGTTTATATTTCTTAAAATTAAAGGGTGGCAAAGTTACCTTGGCCAGAACCAGATCCAATCAAGTAGTACTGAGCCATAAATATTCATAGCATCATAGCTGTAGAGCTGGAAAGGATCATGAAGGCTCAAGCATTTTGTGTTCTTGTATCTGGTATTTTTATGGTAATGTATGACCAGAATCTATAT